TATCATTATTATTTTTAGGTTCGCACTACAGGCCCTATTGATACACTAACCCACCAACCAATTAAAGTTAGCATTACTATTGTTATTATAAGAAAAACAAATTTATATCACCATTATTATTGTTGTTGTTTATTATTTGCATTTTAGGGAAGGAGCAAAGGTGGTGGCATTAGGTTTGGCGAAATGGAGAGAGATTGTTTAATAGCTCATGGAGCTTCATTCCTGTTGCAGGACAGATTGCTTAACTGCTCTGATAAATCTCTCGTAAGTTTCTTCCTTCCTTCCTCTCTCTCTCTCTTATTTCATTCCTCTCTTCCTCTGTTAGTCTCGTGTGTGTAGTGATTGTGGCAGTATATTGTCTCCTATTTGTCTCAAGAGATCAGAGGATCCTGCTCTTCCACAAGAGGAGATGTGGGCGTGTAAAGTGTGTGAGGGAGGTGGACATGTTGAAACAATATCGGTTCCTTATGTCTTTAGGTATTTCGTGGCTGAGCTGGCAGCCATGAACATTGGAATTAAGATTAATAGGCGAGAGCTCATGTCAAAATGATTATTATTATAAGCAATTTTTTGCCATAAACAGAATTAATAGTTATGTGTGTTACTGTTTCTCATTAGTTGTTGGTTTCTTCTCTTGATTCATAAAGTCTTGGGCCTGTAATGTAATAAATGCATTACGTATCAATTGCACACACGAGTTTAAGTAATGTACATATATTTTACCTGTTTTTGCATGTCTTCAATCTTTTCTAAAGTAACAGATTTAAGTGGTAGTATCTTTGGTTTATTCATCACCTACCATAAACAGACAAAATTTAGTCCGTGTCAAAAATTAATTATATTTGTATCATACCATGACAGATACTTCTTCATTGTAGAGAAGTCCTTGCTTAGGTAGTATCTCATTCAAGGCCTTTTCTTCTTTAGTCTGTGGAAGAAAACAAAACATAGTATGTAAGACAATATTAAAGTGTTTACTGTTGGCATGGTAAAAGGGAGTGTTCAGTCTTGTTGAACA